TCACCTACTTATCCACACAGCGATATTTACTGTCAGATCATTTTGTTAAATAATCTGGTATATCTTATGCCTTTGATTTATACATTTAATCAGGTTATCTTAATCTTTTATTAAGGCTTTCATATAGATCTAATTACAATTTAGGTCCAAAAATACAAGAATACAACCCAACCCAGGGGAGGCACAGTTGATAGCTTCCAGGATCTTGCTTGTGCTGTGGGCTGAAAGAAAGACAGAGTAGGCCCCGATCATACATCAACACTGAAAATTCAGTGTGTTTTCTAATGCATGTCTGTTCGCTTCATTAGCATTACAGTCTTCGACTCTGTAATCCACTATAATCTTTCTTCACATTGTTGTGTCTTTTCTCTGAACATCATACAGGCTGGGCCCCCAGGGTTTTCAGCTGTAGGGCTACTGGTTCGATACGTACTTGGTGGTTTGCTGGAGCTATAGGAATTGCTGTGCCACTGGTTTAGTGATTCCACAGCGAATTTTAAATGCTCCCTACAAACCGCAAGGCCCTGAAAAAGATTATTAATGATGGATCATTATCCCTTAAAGACGTGGTTTTGTCATTCCTGAAGCAGCTGCTGGCTCAATTAGTGCAGATGAACGTCATCCTGAACCACTGGTTGAAAGTGTTTAGAAATCCAGAAGGACATGGAATCTGTAGGACCAGAGACCCCTGCTCTAATGAAAGGGGACGGTCTGAGTTTTTCTTTCCTCTCTGCAACTGAATTGTTAGTTGACTGATTTTAAATAGACTTTCAGTTCTCTTCTTGACTTTACAAAAGACACATCGGGTGTAGCAGGATCAGAGCTGACCCACAGCTCTCCCTGTCCCACCCCACTGTAATCTTTCTTTAATTGCTCAACTTGATCACGACTGGGATCCCCTTCATTAACAGTTAAGATGAACTTGAACTTGATCTTTATTCCCATATGTACCTGGTACATGTACTGGTACAATGAAATTCTTACTTACAGTAAGTCTCTTGATTGTTAAAAATTAAAAATCGATTGTGTAAGACACAAAGTGCAGACAGTGCATCAAGACAGTATACAAATAAACAGTAGACAACGTACAAGTAAACATGTTAACAGTTTGAATGTAAACAATGCAGACATAAACAATGACTGCAGGCGTGCAATAAATAATATTACAGTGAGGTAGATGGTGTAGGTGTGGTCTGAGGGGCATGGCTAAATGTGTTCGCCAGTCGTACTGCTTGTGGGTAGAAGTTATTGAAGAATCTAGATCGAGTAAGAGTCTGTATGCTCTTGTATCTCTTGCCTGAGGGCAGTGGGGTGAAGAGCTCATGTCCGGGGTGGTGACTGTCCTCTGTCATGCCCAGAATTCTTCCATGGCAGCGGTCCTCATAGAGCTGTTTAATCTCTGTGAGACCATGGCTGATGATCTTCTGGGCCAGGTTCACCATTCTCTGCAGTGTCTTTCTCTCTCTCGAGAAGGGGTGTTGCAGTACCAAAAGGTGATCCCATTGGTGACGACACTCTTGATGTTGCAGCGGTAGAAGTTCATCAACACAGATACTGGCATCCCCCATTGCTTGAGGCACTTCAGGAAATAGAGGCGCTGCTGAGCCTTCTTCAAGATAGTGTCTGTGTTCACAGTCCAGGTTAGATCATTATAAATGTGAATTCCCAAAAACCTAAAGCTGGTGACTGTTTCCACTTCCGTTCCATCAATACTGAGTGGGCTCTGAGTGTGCGGCCTATGTCTCCGAAAGTCCACTATTTCTTTTGTTTTACTCACGTTCAAGTCCAGGTTATTGCTATGACACCACCTCAGCAGCTGTAAGACTTCATCCCTGTAAGTGGACTCGTCATTATCGCTGATCAGGCCTATTATAGTGGTGTCATCCGCAATTTTAATGAGGCGGCTGTTGCTGTGTCTTGCTGTGCAGTCGGGAGTGAATAGGGAGTACAACCTTGGACTCAGACAGCAGCCATGTTGGGTGCCAGTGCTCAGGATGAGTGGTGTTGATGTTTTATTACCTATCCGCACCACCTGTGGTCTCTTGATTAGGAAGTCCAGCAGCCAGTTGCAGACAGAGTTGCACAGTCCTAGTACCCTGAGCCTTGTCACCAGTTGGCTGGGTATGATGGAATTGAATACTGAACTGTAGTCCACAAACAGCATTCTCACATATGAGTTCTTAGTGTCCAGGTGTTCCAAGGCTGTATGTAGAGCCAGGGAGACAGTATCATCTACTAATCTGTTCTGGTAGGTGAACTGCAAGGGGTCCAGGGCCTCTGTGATGGAGAAGTTGATGTGTGACAACACCAGTTTCTCCAGGCATTTCTTCACCACAGATGTTAATGCTACTGGGTGGTAATCATTCAGGCATGTCAGTTTTGTCTTTTTGGGGAGTGGAACAATGGTTGTTTGTTTGAAGCAGGTGAGGACAATGGACTATGACAGGGAGGAGTTAAAGATGTCCCTAAACACTGTGGTCAGCTGAGCTGCACATATCCTGAGGACGCGGGGTGGTATCCCATCAGGCCCTGCAGCCTTATGTATTTTCACCCTACTTAGAGTTTTCTGCACGTCCTGCTCTGAGAGTTTCTGAACAAACTCGTCCTGTACACTTGGGGTCTTCTCAGCTGTGTTTGTGTTCAGAGCATCAAAGCGGGCATGGAAATGGTTTAGCTCGTCAGGCAGGGATGTGTTGTTCGTGTCAATCTCCTGGCTTTAGCCCTTGTAGCTTGTGACCGACTATAATCCCTGCCACAGCCTCCGGGTGTCACGCATTGCATTTTTAAGCTACCAGTTGTGTTACAGTGGAGCCTAGGGGAAGGGCAGTGCTCTGATCAGCCCCGGAGCGAGTTGTGTGGCTCCCAGGACACACGTGTTGTGACATGTTTCTTTGCGATCTGTGTTCCAGTGTGGGGAGGCCGAAGCACGTCCGCGTCATGGCTGGAGCCCTGGAAGGTGACATCTTCATCGGCCCGAAGGCAGAGGTAGGGATCGCGTCGGGCGACTGCTGTCAGGGACTGTCCAGGACACCAATACGTAACAAGTAGCAGTGTGGCACAGTACTCAGGGCTCTGGGCTTGGAACTCGGAGGTTGCAGATCAATTCCAGGAGGAAGACGCTGCTTTGCCCTTCATTGGGTACAAAAGTAAGGGGCCAAACAGAATAAATTAATGAATTAACCCCAGTGTCCTGGCCAAATTTCCCATTGGCCCTTGCCAATCATGGCCTCCTAATAATCCCCAACTATGAATTGGCTTCATTACTCTGCTCTCCTCCCCACTGATAGCTGATGTGTGGTGAGCGTTCTGGCGCACTATGGCTGCCATCACATCATCCAGGTGGATGCTGCACATTGGTGGTGGTGGAGGGGAGTCCCCATTACCTGTAAAGCGCTTTGAGTGAAGTGTCCAGAAAAGCGCTATATAAGTGTAAGCAATTATTAATTATTATTATTATTATAATTAGTAATTAACTAATACTAGAATTGATTAAACATACAGTGATTTGTGTTCCTAGTCTGCTGTTTTTTTTCCTATTAAAAAGTAATTCTGAATTTAGCAGACCTGTTCGGAATGTTTTAAAGACCAGAACGGTGCCAGTACTTTCTGAGTTTTCAGTTCCAAAATGTCACAGCAGTCTTTTTGTAGCGAGGCCTAGCAGATCGCTGGATTCCGGTTTGAGAGAGCCCGTCAGTGCCAGACTGTTCCAAGGCCCGGTCTCTGTTCCTCGGAGCCAGGTGTCCTGCAGAAGAGCCAGGGTGCACGTTTCTCCCAGCCTGCAGCCACACCTTGAATTCCCACCACTAACCTGGTCACTGCGACCCTCTCCAGGAGCACAGGGGCCTGCTGCGAATCCGCTACCCCATGGAGCACGGGATCGTGAAAGACTGGAACGACATGGAGAGGATCTGGCATTATGTCTACTCCAAGGACCAGCTGCAGACCTTCTCTGAAGAGGTGAAATGCTTCTGGCGTTTCCTGCGCTGCCTTTAGCAGGGGCTGTCGCATCCTAACTAAATCATTGATTTGAGCTTTAGACAGCAGAGCTTGAGACAGATGGGAAAACCAGTTTTATGGGGAGGGAGGGGGGGTCCTGTCGTTGTCTGTGGTAGTTTCTCAGGTGCCAGTTAGCAGTCGGCCTTCACGTTCCTTACTAGTGAATATCCTGGACGCACATATCGCCATATCCACACGATGGTTAGGGTCTGTAAAGGTGCTCGTGGGTGCTGGAGCTCGAAGATCACTTTTCTTTCTTCTGTCCTTGTCTTCCAGCACCCCGTCCTGCTGACGGAGGCCCCCCTGAATCCTCGGAGAAACCGGGACCGCGCGGCGGAGGTCTTCTTCGAGACCTTCAACGTCCCGGCGCTCTTCATCTCCATGCAGGCAGTGCTCAGTCTGTAGGTGCCCAGCCCGCGGCCGGTGGCCTTTGGTTTAACCACAAACAAGAAAGCAAAACGGCCCGGCTGTCCAGAAGCTGGTACCTGCATGATCGGGCCCGCGCAGAGGGCGGCTCAGAGTCGGGTCCTCCTGCCTTGAACGGCACTAATCACTGAGCTTTGCATGTTGTTGCTCCAGACTGAAAATGTCTGCCCCATGTTAATCATGGCCACCTCTTCCTTTGAACTGTAAAACCTTCAAAGGTGCTCTTCCAGCAAAGAGGTTTGGAGAAAACATGCTTTTTGTGTTCCACTGTAAATGAATTATGGAAAGCTTTTTCTGAGTAGTTTACTCTTGTAAGCCTAGTATTTTTTGTCCTGTAGCAAAACATTTTGAAAGTCAGCTTTTAATCATTTTAATTCTTAAGAGTGCTTTGTTGTATGTATAGATGTTGGTCTTTGGTGCCCATTCAGCAGTTTAGATATTCAGCAGTCTAACTGTATTGGAAGCATAGCTGTCTTATGTTAGATGCTCCAAGTTAAGCATCAGATGTTGGTATATCCATCCATTTTCAAACTGCTTGATTCAATTTAGTATCACGGGGGAGACGGAGCATCTCCTGGCTAAGCAACAGGTTCAAGGCAGGGGACACCCTGGACAGGACACAGAATCAAACACAGACTCGCACACACTCAAACCAGGGCCAGTGTTCCCTCCAGCCAAAATTACCTGCCAGTATGTCTTTGGACTGTGAGAAGAAACCCACGTGAACACAGAGAGAACATACAAACTCCACACGGATAGCACCCCAGGGCCCCAGCACTGCGAGGCAGCAATGCTAACCATTTCTCCACCGTGCCACGGTATATTGATATATTTAGGTCTTAGCTAGGAGTGACATTAGCCATCATTCACTCATGCAAAAATGAGAATAAAAGGCCTAGAACAAAGCAGCATCACTGTAAATGACTTTACCTGTCGTGTTGGTCTTGTCAATGCATGCAGAACCAGCGAGAGACACACCTGTACTCAGCCCAGCCCATGTCTGGAGCTTTTTATCGCCCTTCCATGCAGGAGTCATGTGGAACCAGTGTGCGCTTCCAGACAAAAATACATGCACCTAACAATAATAAAATCAAAGAGCAAATATGAATTATTTTCTAATAATAAAATGTTAATAAGAGGTATCCAGGGATTAAACATTTTTGAATATTATGGATTTTTTTTTTAAATGACAGTCTTGGCAAATAAAAATAAGCAGCCTGCTCACAGAGGTAATTTGCACAGAGCAGAGGGGTGAACCCGCAGCTCTGTCTGTTACAGCGGTCCTGCGTGTCAGGCGCTTGCTCTAGGGTTGCTTGTTCTAACACGTCCCGGACGTGAGCCAATGACGTTCGGACCCCTGTTATTGCAGGTACGCCACAGGGCGGACCACCGGGGTGGTGCTGGACGCGGGGGATGGCGTGACCCACGCAGTGCCCATCTACGAGGGCTTCGCCATGCCCCACTCCATCATGAGAATCGACGTCGCCGGCCGGGATGTCTCCAGATACTTGCGCCTCTACCTGCGCAAGGAGGGCTACGACTTCCACACCTCCTCCGAGTTTGAGATCGTCAAGTCCATCAAGGAGGTAGGTGCTGGACAGGCTCACAGGGAGGGCTCCTTTAGCGGGATTGAGTGTGCTGTAGTAGTGGCTCTCTTCTTAAGATCGATTGCTGCTTCTGTCAATGGTGATCGTTCATTCCCCTAGTTTAAAACAAATCCCTGCAGTATTAAGAAGAGCAAACTTAAGCAATAGGCAGCACAACCAAAAAAAAACAGCAGAATCAGGTAGCCTTTGATTAATCTGTCAGGGCTGTGCATCGTTCTGCAGGCTGTAATCTTAGGGGTGGAGCAGTGGCTCTGTGGCTAAGGATCTGTGCCTGTGGCTGGAAGGTTGCCAGTTCAAATCCTGCGGCCGGCAGAGGAATCCTACTCCATTGGGGCCCCTGAGCAAGGCCCTTAACCCCAGCTGCTCCGTATAAATGGCCGACCCTGCGCTCTGACCCCAAGCTTCTTTCCCTGTCTGTGTGTCTGTGTCTCATGGAGAGCAAGCTGGGTTATGCGAAAAGACAAATTCCTAATGCAAGAAATTGTATAGGGCTAATAAAGTGGTCTTATCTTATAAACTGGCGCTGGAACAAAAAGGATCACTCGCCACCTGTATCTTCATTTTGTACTTAATATGGGTACAAATAGGAGGATTAAGCAGTTACAGAATACTGAAAATACAGATGGGGATAATCAGTAATCAAAACAAATAATCAGAACCCTCAGATTGTAAAAGATATGCCAAGATTATACTGGAGAAGGTGCTATAATTAGAGACTAGGGTTCTTAATTCTCTGGCACAGTTCTGATGAAGGTGTAACAGATCAGAGGCAAACAGACATGAACAATGACAATGATACATACTTGGCAACACAGCATACAAGTTATGCTATTTTCAAATAAGGAATGTGAGGCCATCTTCTTGACCATCTTGACAAATGTACTGGCTGCTTACTTTGTACTCATAAATCCTAACAAGCCAGCAAGAGAAAGAAACCTGCATCCTAAATAAAACAGAATAGAACCCACGCTAAATCTCTCTTCCTACATTCCTTCCACATGCTGCAAACTGAATGGGACCCTATCTCCTTATTCACTTACCAGGAGGGAGTGTTTTAACCTGGGGAACGTTTATGGTGGAAATCAGAGTTTAGATGGCAGGTGTTCTTAAATGAGGTTCAAATACTTAATTCGAATCTGGTCTCTAAAGGTTGATCAGAACAAGGTCCTCTTGCTTGGCACGTGCTTTGTACTCTCTCTGTCTCTCTTCCTTGTGTCGTTCCACATCACATCCCTGCTTCTGCCTGCCTCTCTTTTCTCCTGGGTTTCGCTAATAAAAACTCTTAATGGTTTACCACGATTTTAAAGAAGGTAAACCAGATGTTTCCTTTTCGTCAGTGTGTCTCAGACCCCCTCTAAGGCTCAGCAAACACCTTGTCTTCCTAATCCGTGTTTTAAACAGAGAACTGCAGAAATCGACTCCCAGGACCATTGTTTTCTAGATCCTGACACACTTCAGTAGCTGTAACGCTGTCCAAGCTTCCATTTCTTGGTCCAGTTCATTTCTGTGGCTGCTGTCGGGTTTCTCTCTCTCAACAAGCAGAACACACAGTTAGTTAAAAAACTCTATATGATCTCAATGTGAAGAGAGAAACCAGATGATGAAAAGGCCAAAGTGCAGCATCACACTAGAATGTGCTTCCTCTTTTCCGAACTTGAAGAGTTTAACCTCGCGTATCGTACTTTGCCCCCCGTTTACTGTCAGCATGGTCTTGAAAGTTAGACAGCAGTTTATTCAGGGATGGAAAAGGTGGAGCAGGTCTCCTAAAACACTTCGAACATGTTCCCATCCTCGTCATAGCATGGGTATGTGGCAGAATTGTAGTCCAGGCACAAATGCTGCAGTGAACAAAAGAAATTTGTCCCTGTGGTGGGAAAAAACTTAAATTAATCAAAGCTACAGTGAACTTTTCAGTTGTCGTACAGAATCAAATACCATTGATCTTTACCGTATACAGTGCCTATAGAAAGTCTACACACCCTTTCCAAAGTAACACAATCAGTGGCCTAACAGCCTGAACTCAAGACACTTTAAATCAGAATTCATTTGACCTTTATTTACACATTGCAGCACAATCTCCAAGTGAAAACCCTTTTAGAATATTTGAGCTTTTCTCGATTACAGATGGAAAGTTAGAAAAATGGGTTGGAGTGTACACGCCCCTGAGTTAGTACTTGGTGGAGGTGCCGTTTGCTTGAATTATAGCCATATTTCTGTTTGGACAGGTCTGTACCAACACAGCACACCTTGAGTTCCCAGTGTTTGCCCATTCCTCCTTAAAGTACTGTTAATGTGAGCTGCTCACTCTTACTTAGTGAAGAAGCATTCTCTGAAGTTCATTTGCTTATACTTCTATATTAAGCCAGCATCCTTATCGCCCTGCAACTCACTATTAGCAACCACTGAAGCTCAGTGGGTGTAAGCCTGGTCAGAACACGGATGGGAAAAACTAAGGCTGCTGCTGGAAGAGGTGTTAGTGGGGCCAGTAGGGGGTGCTTTCCCCACAGTTTGTGTGGGTTTGTAGCCCGTTAAGATCACAGATCATGCCTTTTCTTCGACCTTGATGACAGTAGTCATGATAACACACAGTGATCTTTGAAAATGAGAGCATGCCTGTTCCCTCTCAAGCACTGGATGTCTCCTTAACAAACGTATGAAGTAAACTGTGCAACAGGTTGACCATTTGAAAGGGTTGTATTTGATCTTAAATTGGGCGTATTTTTCTTTGTAGTTCTTACTCTTCTGTTTAACCTGCCCTCGTCCAGTTCGGATTTTTCAGTGCCGTTTTATACGCTGGCTTGTGTGAGCAGGGCAGGGATTACCTGGGAGAGGGAGCTGCACACTTGGCTCGCAGGATGAAGGTGGATTGATGGGAGTTGTGGCTGTGACTTGAGCCATCAGTGAGCCATCAGTCATGTACCTCGTTATCCGTCTTTCCTCCAGCGGGCCTGCTTCCTCTCCATCAACCCCCAGAAGGACGAGACCCTGGACACCGAGAAAGCGCAGTACACGCTCCCGGACGGCAGCACCATTGAGGTATCGTGGGTGTCGTCTTGGTCAGACGTCCAGCTGGCTGGACAGGTGTGCCCGTGGATTTGGCTGGAGGTCGACAAGGTCGTAGGTCGGGTGGTGCATGAGGCATTAGGCCGCTGTGAAAACCATTGGGCCTGTTGTAGCAGGATCTTTAAAATAGGTGAGCCCAGCCCAGCAGACACACAGCTGTAAGGTTCGAAAACAGCAGTGCTCTTTATTTTCACAGCTCAGGAAAAATCAAACACACCACAACCAAAATAAGACAGAAGCCTAATAACCTCCTGACTAAACTTTTTCTTGGAGTCCCCAACGTACTTACCGGCCTCAAAAGAAACAGGTCAGGTTCTCTCCACAGTTCTCCACACTGTTGTCTCACTCCAAGGCTCTTCACAAAGAAGCACTTGAGATCTGACAAAGGACAAACATGGGTGTTGGAAGAAACCGATAGTGCAGATCAAGAATAAGGGGTTTTAAAAGGTAAAAGGCTTTGTATCCGTAAAATCCAAAAAGAATCCAAGAATTAATTATGGAAAAAAAATCTAAAGGAGTACATTAATTATTTTAAGTAAATCCTAAGCACATTGGGCGGCATAGTGGTGCAGTGCATTGCTGCCTCACAGCACCCGGGCCCTGGGTTCAATTTCAGACCCAGGGTGCTATCTGTGTGGAGTTTGCATGTTCTCCCTGTGTTCATGTGGGCGTCCTCTGGGTGCTCTGGTTCCCTCCCAAAGTCCAAAAACATACTGGGAGGTTAATTGGCTTCTGGGAAGATTGTTCTGGGGGTGAGTGTGCCTGCATCTTCCCAGCGATGGACGGGCATCCTGCCCTGAGTATATCCTGCCTTGTGCCCTTTATACCGTATGTGTAATTGATTATTAGAAAATTAGTAAAATGGACAAACTAAATTAGTATTTGGTACATGAACCATTTGCTTTAACCTAAGCTCATCATCTTAGTTCCCTGCTCCTGTGCAGTTTACCCATGAGCAGCTGTGGGATGATTTAGCTCTACAGGTCTGGTGAAATAACAGTGGCACTTTGAGTGGCTCTGATGTACTTCCAGATTGGGCCGGCTAGATTCCGTGCCCCCGAGCTGCTCTTCCGGCCGGACCTGGTGGGTGAGGAGTGTGAAGGGATTCACGAGGTGCTGGTCTTTGCCATTCAGAAGTCTGACTTGGACCTGCGGAGGACCCTCTTCTCCAACATTGTCCTCTCAGGGGGCTCCACGCTTTTCAGAGGTGAGCCGGACACATTTAACCCACTGCCGATCTGAA